GTTTTTGTCTGGTCAGAAGACTGTTACAAGTTCAGATGTATAACAACTAACTCGGTTGTTCAGTTGGACAGTTTTCTAGTGTGTGTTCCTCAGAATGGCATTCTTGCCCATTCAAAATATCTTCATTTCACACAGACAGGGGGATGATATATGTTTGAGCTGCAGTATTTTCTTTCTGTACCTGAAATTCTTATTTCATGATTATCTAGTTTCTATCATGGTGTTGCAGCTGAGAATCTACAATGGCAGATTCTTATTTGTTTATTTGTAGGTGATTGTTCTTTCTGGTTTTATCCCCATGGTTTAAAAAAAAATTAAAACTGATAATTTAGGAATTTCTCATTGGTCCTGCCTAGAACTAGGTGAGTTCAAATGTTTTTAATCTGAAAACTTGGGTCTTTTATTAACTTAGAGAGGTTGTACTTCATTTATTTAATTATTCCTTATTTTCCACCTACTCTTTTTCTTCTTGGGACTAATATAAGTGACACATAATGTCTCTTGCATTTATCCTCCTACTTCTTCATGATTTGTATCTTTTTACATTTAACTCTGTGTTTTCAGGATATTTCTTCCATTTCTTCTTCAACCAGTTGAGAACCAACTGTGCTGTTCTCTTTATTTGTCTACTCAATTATTTACTTCAAAGTCATGAATGTTATTTATCTTTGATCTTCTTAAGATTTCTTATTGTTCTTTAGATTATTTATTGTACTCTACTCTCCTTTTGGGATTCCAAGATCCCCAGATTTCTACAACTCAAACTTTTTTTCCACAACATTCATAATTTTTAGTCTTCACCCAAAGACATCTTTAAAACTGGTATCCAGGTGATCCTGCTATTTATGTCAGAGAAAACTCAGTACCTGTTATTTCCATGAAAACAACATAGAACTCAAGGCTGCATTCGCCAGCATTCAGTTGTGTATAAAGCATCTATCTAAATGATTTAGCAAACTCTGATAAATTGGAGTGGGTAATAAAGAGCAAGGAAGTCAAATTAAGGTCACCCCTTTCCCGAACTCACTGCCCTCCTTCATGAATTTTCTAGAGTGATTATAAGTTTTGACTGCCTTAAGGCCAATTCATTTACCTCCCAGCCTTAGTTTGCTCTGTTGTAAAATAAGAGTGTTAGATTAAATGAACCTAAAGCCTCTTTCTACAAAATTATCCTAGAATGTTATTATTTTAAGTCACTCCTTATAACATCTGAAAGCAATGGACAAACATTGCCTGGATCTTTGGTCATGTAACTATAAATTTATCAGACATTTTGGGAAATATAAATTTATATATTTCAAAACACTTAAAAAATTATACTAGCTTTCTATTGTTGCTGTGACAACTTGCTACAAACATCGTGGCTTAAAACAGCAGGAATGTGTTAACTTATAGTTCTGTATGTGCTTCCTATGAGGCTTACAGCATTAGAGTCACGGTGTCACAGGACTGTAATCCTTTCTAGAGGCTCTAATGGGCAATCAGTTTTTTCACTCTTTGAAACTTCCAGAGGCCTGACTCCTTCCTTATTCATAGCCTCTTTCTTCCATTTTCAAAGCCAGCAAAATTGTATCTTTCTGTGCCGTTCGTCTATAGTTATGTCTTCTGCTCACAGTCAGGAAAGTTTCTCCAGCATTTCGGAACCCATATGATAAAACTGGGTCCATCCAGATAATCCAGAATAATATCCACACACAAGGTCCTTAACTAAATTCCTTTAAAAAAAAAAAAATATATATATATATATATTTATTTATTTATATTGGTGTACAGGCCAGAAGCACAGGAAGGTGAGAGGATTCACCAGAGACAGAGCAGGCAGCAGAACAGGCAGATGGACTGAAGGCACTGCTGAGGGGAGCAGCAGGCGAAGCAGGAGAGGTCTGCCATGCCATGTGGGTAGCTCCCTGGCTAGTGGGGAATCGAACCAGCTCTGCAGAGGCTGCGGACTGTTTCGCAGCACGGTGCTCAACCCACTGTGCCATGGGTAGGCCTGCTTAACTAAATTTCATCTGCATAGTTCTTTTTCTTCCCATCTCCTTCTCCTTCTTCTATTTGCAATGAAAGGTAACACATTCACAGGTTCTGGATAATGAGATGTAGGAATCTTTGGAGGGACCATTATTTGCCAAAAAAAAATTGTCAATATTTTAGATGCAATGATGGCATGGTAGTTAATTTTTAAATGATATGTTTAAAATGTAAATATGTTCACAGACGACTTATTTGAACAAGGATTGAGATGATATCTGCTCATTCCTTCTAGATGAGTAGTTAAAAGTGTAATACAGGATTTTTTGTGTCAAGAATCACTTTAATAATTTAGAAGAAATAAAATTAGAGAAGAATCACCATTTTGTCAATCTTAATGAAGTTAAACCTATTCATGGTACATCAATAGATGAAAATTTCATGGCTCAGTTCTTGAGGTAGGATCAGGCTATCACCACCTGAACGCAACTGACCACACTTAGCATCCCCAAATTTGACACCCAGAGAGAGGATAACCTCTGACATGATGCAACATGAACTATACAGTCTCCTCTGTGCAGCATTTTTGCAACAACACATATGCCTGAAATATATCAATACTTTCTGAACTTTCACTTAAAGAGGTATGAGTATGCAGGAACAATTAAATGACACCACAGATAAACAAACATAAATCTAGAATGTGGTACATCTCTAGACCTGACCTAATTTCCTCAACAAGATAATAGCATAAAGGGAAAAGATGAGGAGAGAGCACTGCTCTAGACTAAAGGAAATTGCAGAGATAGAATAATTAAAAATCACAGGCAAACCTTGTTTGCATTCTGATTAAAGGAAAAAGGCAAAAATTAGAGAAATCCAGTGTAGACTGGGTATTAGAGGATACTAATTGATTATGGAAAATTGAGAGGTTTGATAATGGCTTCATAGTACATCAGAACGATGTGCATAATTATAGAGAGGCAGACCAAAATACATGGTGGTAAAGTGACAATGTCAAAGATTAGCTTTTACAAATGCTATCTTCCTACATAAGTAAATATAAAACTGTATTTGTGTTTTATCTAAAACAAATTATCACATTACAGATATATTCCTAACTCTAACCAAGCAACTCACAAATGAATTTAATTGGTCATTCCACTAGAATGCAGTTCCATACCATCCAGGTATATGGATTCAAAGAAATCCATTGCTGTTACCAGGGAAATAAGCAAAACTCCAGCATTTTGGGACCCATGGCTCACTTCCTGAAGGTGAAATAGTGCCCTCAACTTACACTAGCATAAAACTTACATTCCAACAAGAAAAATAACTATATATTCTTATTTAATCCTTATTAAGAACCTATAAAATAATTTTTATTATTCCCATTTTATAGATGGAGGCTAAGATGAGTCAGATCAATGGGGATTTAAACACAGGTCTATCCCACACCATGTACAGTGTTTGTGACCAATATTCAATGATTGCACCATTTATTAAATATTTAATACATACTGTGCAAAACTCAGCGGATCTTTTCTTCTTTTGCGACATCTGTAGATGCTTTATGAAAACTAGTCATTAAATATTATTTATTGTTCATGATGATAAAGAAAGAAAGCCTATTAATAATTAAGTATATTTTGACGTGTTGCAGAAATGAACCAATTATTTATATCAACTAGATTTTTAAACTCTAAACTCAGTGAAATGAATTATGAGCCACATTTTTGTAACTGTCTGTGTAGACAGTCCTTTTTAGATAAATATTTATTTCCATCTTGAGTCTACACAATTTAGGACATGAAAAACATCAACATACTTTGAAACAGAGCTAACCTAATATAAATGTCAAGTTTCTGAGATTTCTGACATGCTATATAAAACAAAACAGTAATGGGTATTAAAAAAACAACTCTGAGATTGTCAGGGTTTAAGCTCTTGTTATTTATGTTCTACTAAGGAATAGAACACAATTGAGACATTTGGACAGGAGCTTATTTAATCTGTTTCTCTCAAGTCAGAGGTTGAAATATTTATAACTTTGAATGGCACATACATGATATTTAAATAAGACAGATATTTGTTCTGATTTCTCTTTGCTTCGCCTCTAAACCATGAATGTAAACTAGTTTATGAATTATGTGTTGGAGCAGAAAAATAAGCCTGGAAAAAAGACTTTAGAAAGAAAATTTTGGATATATTATTTCAATCTCATCGGGTTTATTGCCTATATTTCACAAAATGCCATAACCTATGCAGTGCATTGTATCTCTGCTTAATTCCTCTACTCAATTTTAAATTATTGTGCTATCGCTGTTAAAGATCATATGTTTCGTGTAAAAATGTTGAAAGCTGAATTCATAGAAATAGAGAGTAGAATGGTGGTTGTCAAGGACTGGGTGGTGGTGGAAATGGGGAGGTGTCAGCCAAAGTAAAAAGTCCCAGGGGTCTAAGGCCTGGCATAGTAAACACAGGTAACAATGCTATTATCTACTCGAAGGTTGTCAAAGAATAGATCTTGAATGTTATCACTACATACAAACAAATGACTATGTGCAGGGTGTGGGGGGGGCACAGGGGACGGGTAGGGAAAGGTGTTAACTAACCTTGTGCTAATAATTTCACATTATATATATGTGTGTGTGTGTGTGTGTGTGTGTGTGTGTGTGTGTGTGTGAAATCATCACAGGTCAGCCTTACATCAATAATATGTCAATAAAAGCAGAAAAAAGGATTATATTGTTTGGTTTACAATACTTCCAATCTATATTGTTCAATAGCAGTTCTGTCCAACACAAATATAATGTAAGTTCCACATGTAATTTTAAATTTTCTAATAACCACATTAAAAAAGTAAAAAGAAATAGATGGGGTTGATTTTAATAGTATTTTTATTTAATTCAATATTGCATGAATATTTTTTCAAAATGTAATTGAGATAAAAATTGTTAATGATATTTTTTATATTAAGGCTTTGAAATCTAAGGAGTATTTTATTCTTATATTCTATTAATTTCAAGTGGCCATACTTGGCTTGATGCCACCAAATTGGACAGAGCAACTCTTGGTATGTCCAGTCTGAAGTAACTAAATCGGGACACACTGGATTAATTTTCCTTGGAGAAAATAGGACAAGTCTATGAGGTAAGAATTATTTTCTAGTTTCAAATATTGGACTAATACTTGTAGAGTTCAAAGTCGTGCAGCTGTATTTGAGTCTCAATGCAGCTGCATCATATAAAATGAAGACATTTTAATCCAAATAGGAAACAGGGAAATTGATGAAGTGAGAAAATGCACAGACCACATGTGATTGAATGAGCAGTTTCCTGGAGACCTTGGAGGAAATATCAGTATTATAAATACCAGGATGACTCTTGGGCGTCTTTGGGGTGATTAATCCTTGATATAATGTGCTGAATTCTTCCTTTTTCTGAAGGAAGCTTCTATTTTGGACATCTTCCAATCTAAAAAAACATCCCTATTATAATAACCTCTTCTGAAGTCTGCAATCCATGGCTTAGTGCTCTTTGGAAAGTGTTAAGTCACTGACCACCACATGAACAAGGGGGAGAAAGTGTTGCTGTCATGGTTGGACAAGAAGAAAGGCACTTTTTTTTTTTTTTTTACTTAGGTGAATGTATCTTTTTTGGAAGACAGAAATTAATATTGCCATTCAGCTGTGTGCTGAGAGTTTCACCTCTGAAGGTCTTGAGAATCTTTATCTTCAAAGGAGGTCTAGCTGCTTCACATATCACATTTGAGAAGAGATTCCTTTCCAGGTTGCACATATTCTGCTCTAGCAGCTTTTTTTCAAGAATATATTAATTCGGGCCTCCTCTGGTGGCGCAGCGATTGAGTGCTGGGCTGTGAGGCTGCCCACAGCCTCTGCAGCGCTGGTTCATTCCCCGGCCAAGGGTCCCACAAAAAAAAAAAAAAAACCCAAGAATATATTAATTCTTTAATTTAACAAATATTTTTTGAATACCTACTGTCTTAGGTGATAGAGATATGAGTGAAAAGATGGAGGGGAGCAAAAAATAGAAAGAACTGCTCCCCTTTGTAAGGGACAGAGAAATAGGAAATAGGTAAATAGTAAATCAATAACGATTAGAGTTGGAGAGGAATGCAAATCAAGGAAGGGGATGGGAAGCAGTGTGATTCGGGTGTGACTTTGAGGGAGGTGATGTATGATACTTTCAGGCTGACCAAGGAAAGCCTCATTAGTTAATATCTTAGCAGAGACCTGAAGAAGGCAAAGAAGGAGCAAAAGCAAATGCATATGTCCTGGGGCAACTAGAAGGCTTACATGGTCAAGGAAAAGCACATGGTCCCACTGGCATTCCCAAATGTTTTTATTTTATAACTTCCCAAGACTTTTTTTTTTATCTCAACCACCCTAGAAAAGGGATATTTGAGACATTAATAAAACCATCATATTGGATAATCTAACTGTACCAAACTGGAACCCAAGTTAATGATGAAAGAGAGGATGGCAGTATGATGTCAGAGGGCTTTATGATTAAGCCAGTCATTTGTAAAATGAGTGGTTGGGTCTTTTACTCTCTTGCCCTTTTGTTTATCTTTTCTCTCCACTCTCTTTCTTCCTACTTTCCTTTATCTACACAAATCTGAAGATGAGCTGCTTATTGATCAAGCCCTTTGAGTACTTCTCTCCTCCCCTACTCTGCTATTTACTACTCAAGGCTCTGCTTTCAGTCATCCTCTCTCTATTAAGTGGTAAATCTGACCTTTACATCATCAATAAGATCATCCTCAGTGATGCAACGAAGAAATTAAATCAATCAAATAATAGTCAAATCATTCTGACTGGGAATAAACTGAAAATTGGCTGAGGAGAGTCTGAAACATGCAGAAAGAATTAGATTTAAGTGTAAATGTGTATAAAGAAAAATAAGAATAGATAATAACATCTAGCTGTAATTTATCAAAGGCTAAGTAGGAAAGAATTAATTTAAAGAAGGCCAAGAAAAATCTGACCTCGAGAGCATAGGTTCTCTTCATAAATTAGGGAGTCACAATCATTTAAGCAATAAATGAATAATTGTTGGGTACGATTAACTAGGTGTTTTAAGGTTATTGAAGATTTTAAATTGCACCAATTTAGCAAAGTGTAGGTTCAGAGTGTTTTAATATAACAATTAGCTCCCAGTAAAAGAAGGAGCTTAAGTATTCCTGTTCACGAGAGGGTTGCTGATATATGAGATCATTTTAACATTTGCCGAGTCGGCTTAGCACCCCAGAAATGTCTGGATGGGGGAGGAGGTTGGATTGATTTTTAACTCTCTTTGAAACAAAAGCTTGTTTTCAAATAAAAGACAATTTTAAAGAAATAAGAATCACATAATGCTAGATCTAGAAAAGGCTCTACTTGAAACTTTATATTTTACAGATGAAAAGTCAGTTTCTTCATCTGTAAAATGAAGGGGTTTGAAAAGATGAGATCAAATACTTTCCACTTCCAGGAACCCACAAAGTTTAGCGAGGCTTAGTGGGGCCCAGTTGCACAGTTGGTCTGTGTCAGACGTGGGAAGCCTACTTCACTCCCTGGATTCATTTTATGGTTGGGATTCAATTCTGTACTTTAAAAATGCAGTCAGCTCAGTTGTTTGACACAATACAGATAACCGGCCATTTATCTAGGTTGAATTGTCTTTTCTATTTCATCAGTTTTCCTGTTTTGTAAACATAACCTCAAGGATATCACCAGTCATAAGGAACAAAACTTGAACGCTGCACAATTGTTCTTAGAGCTGGCTGAATTTACTCAGTAGATGCAACAAGCTCTACCTTTAGCATTAAAACCAGCAAACAATGAATGCAATGTTTTTCCACATGCAGATTTATGCAAATTTGACTTGAATGGGACTCAATGAGGAAAAGCAAAACCCTCATTTTGGTATAAAAGAAGAACCAAATTGAGTCCAGCTTCCCATCACTTCCAAATGACCTCTGCCTTTTCCTGAGGACTGTGAGAGCATAGCACGGAATCTTGCCTTAGCGGAAGATCAGCCCCAACTCTGGAGATGTATGGTCTAACCATGTATACCAGTCTGGGAGACTAGTCCTCTAATGTACATCAGGGATTCCAAATCTGAAATCTACTTTCATTTCATCCTTTTCAGAAACAGGTCAACACCATCCATTTGAAAAATCTCCCTTCTTTATAGTGTAGGCAAAATAAACATCTGGAGGAAGAATTTGTAACTTTTGTTAGAGATTGGGGGTTAATTTTCCTAACATATTAAGGGATTACAGAATTTCAGAAGTAAAAGACCAACCATTCTATTGGGAAGGTGCATCTATAAACAGCAGGTATTCAGAAAAAAAATTCTTATGTCTCCTAAAGATGTGAAGAAATGTTAGGCCATACTCAAAGAGAAGTACTAACAAACCACAGAGAGATATAAATCCTCACCTATCATATGCGTGAAAACCCAAAACCAAGACAGAACTTAGTACTCACAAGACTGAAGAACATGTACTGTCATCTAAAGCTAGTATGAAGCAAAATGGTACAAACTTTCTGAAGAGGAATTTGGCATCCAGGAAAATGACCAATGTATTTACTTTTACCTTTTTAAACTTGTTTCTAGCAATTCATGTCAAAGAAATAATGGGAAAACGTGAAGACATTAATTTCAAGGTGTTAATTGCATAACTGATAATTTTAAAAGACAAAAAAGACTTCAAATTTCCATCAGTAGACAACTGGTTGAATAAACCATGGAGCAATCTGCTGATATAAAAGAGAATGAGACTATGGTGGAATCTATGGTTGACATGGTGATGGGGATTGTGGTAAGAGGTGTGATTCTATACATCTAAATAATATAAAGTGTTTTAAATCAATGATACCTAAATTAAAAAGTAAAAATAAAAATAGAATGAGGAAAATCTTTAAAAATCACTGTGGTGTACTCTCCAAATATAGTTAAAGAAGAGTAGGGGGAAGAACCATGTTCATAATAGCCTAGAAAACCAGGTTTAATACCCAGAAGGGTTTGCATGTCTATTTGCTTGGATTTAAAATCAAAGGGAGGGGCCACCCCTGGTGGCACAGCAGTTGAGCGCTGGGCTGCGAAGCTGCCCATAGCCTCTGCAGCACTAGTTCGATCCCCGGCCACCAGCAAGGGTCCCACATGGTGCAACAGACCTTTCCTGTCTCTCACACTGCTCCCCTTAGCAGTATGTTTCATCAGTCTACCTGTTCTGTTCCCAGCTCTGTCTCTGGTGAATTCTCTCACCCTCCCACACACCTGGCCCGCACCCCAGTTCTTGTATAAAATACATAAATCTTTAAAAAAAAAAACTTAAAAAAAAAATAAAAAATAAAATCAAAGGGAGGGCCTCCCTGGTGGTGCAAGGGGTTAAGACGCAACCTATGAAGCTGTCTGCAGCCTCTGCAGCATGAGTTCGATCCATGGCTGGCCAGAAGCTACCCACATGGTGTGGCAGACCTCTCCTGACTCCCCCGCTGCTCCCCTCGGCAGTGTATTTCACTCAGTCTGCCTGTTCTGTTCCCCACTCTCTCTGGTGAGTCCTCTCACCCTCACCCCCCAAACCTCTGACTTGTACACCCAGCTCTTGTTTGCATAAATAAAAGGAAAATAATAAAATCAAAGGGAAAACGGAAACCAACCTAAATAGTTGGAAAAAATGGGGTAGAGGGAACAGGGATAGAAGCTAGATTTCTCCTTTTTGGTTCTCTGGTTTTCATTTTAGAATTATGTAGCTATTTAATGTAACATAAAAACAAAAATAAAAGGCAAGTGAAACAAATGACCACTATTATGTATTCACTGTGGCTTAACCATACAGTAATTATTTCAAGAGCTTTTAAAACAGCACAATTTTTAACACTTCATTCCTTGTTGGATATATCCAAAGGTTAAAAGGAACCACAAAAGCAGGATACGAAATCAACATGCAAAAGTCAGTAGCCTTCCTATACACAAACAATAAATCAAAAGAAGAAGAAATAAAAAAAAAATCCCTTTTATTATCAAAAAAAAAAAAATCAAATACTTGGGAATAAATCTAACAAAAGAGGTAAAGGACCTATACAAAGAAAACTATAAAACACTGTTAAAAGAAATAGAAGAAGACACAAAGAAATGGAAAGACATCCCCTGTTCATGGATTGGAAGAATAAACATTATTAAAATGGCCATCCTACCAAAAGCAATATACAGATTCAATACTATTCCAATCAAAATTTCAATGTCATTCTTCAAAGAAATAGAACAATTATTGATGAAATTCATATGAAATCACCAAAAACCCCAAATAGTCAAAGCTCTCCTGAAAAAAAAGAAGGGAATGTAGGCATCACACTCCCAGACTTCAAGCTATACTACAAAGCCATAATCATCAAAACTGCATGGTATTGGAACAAGAACAGACACACAGACCAATGGAATTGAATAGAAAATCCAGAAATAAACCTACAGATTTATGGTCAACTAATCTTTGACAAAGGAGCAAAGACTATGCATTGGAGCAAAGAAAGTCTGTTCAATAAATGGTGCTGGGAAAACTGGGTTGTTACATGCAAAAGAATGAAGCTTGACCACTACCTCACACCATACACAAAAATCAACTCAAAATGGATTAAAGAACTAGACATAAGACCTGAAACCATAAAATACATAAAAGGAAATATAGGCGAAACACTACATGATATGCACATCAAAGACATCTTTACAGACACATCACCCAAAGCAGTGATAGTGAAGGCAAAGATAAACAGCTGGGACTACATCAAATTAAAGAGTTTCTGCACAGCAAAAGAGACAATAACAAAAACAAAGAGAAACCCCACCGACTGGGAGAACATTTTTGCACACAACACTAATGATAAAGGACTGATCACAAAAATCTGCAAAGAGCTGATGAGACGCAACAACAAAGAAAATAATCCTGTCAAAAAATGGGCAGAAGAGCTAAAAAGAAACTTCTCAGAAGAGGAAATGCAAATGGCCAACAGGCATATGAAAAAATGTTCAACATCACTTGTAATCAGGGAAATGCAAATCAAAACTACCATGAGATACCATCTTACACCAGTGAGAATGGCACATATTAAAAAAACTAGCAACAACAAATGTTGGCGAGGGTGTGGAGAAAAAGGAACTCTCCTGCACTGTTGGTGGGAGTGCAAACTGGTCCAACCACTATGGAGAGCTGTGTGGAGATTTCTGGACCTACTAAACATAGAGCTTCCATATGATCCAGCAATTCCACTCCTAGGGATTTACCCAAAGGACACAGAAACATCAATTCCAAAGAACACCTGCACCCCTGTGTTTATAGCAGCACTGTTTACAATAGCTAAGCTTTGGAAACAACCCAAATGCCCAAAAATAGATGACTGGATCAAGAAGATGTGGTACATATACACCATGGAATATTACTCAGCATTCAAAAAAGATAGACACATGCAATTTGCAGCAACATGGATGGCACTGGAAGGGATCATGGTCAGCGAAATAAGCCAGAAAGAAAAAGAAAAATACCAATGGTCTCACTCATAGCAGGAATCTAGAAAACTTAAATAAGGGACCAGGAAAATGAATAACTATAAGAAAGTGAAAATCAAAATCAACAAAAAACTATGAACCAGAGACACTCTATGGGGGGTGGAGGGCGGAGAGGGGAGGGATTGGTGTTAAAATAAGGGGGTTTCAACTGTATGGGGAATATAAAAATAAAATTTATTTAAAAGAAAATTAAAAATACATAAAGGAAAGAAAAAAAAAAAGGAACCACAATAAAAATCTTAAGCAATTTTCAAGTCATATATTCATTAATACTATGAAATTATGAAAGAGATATTTTAAGCAAATAAAAATTATATTAAAGTGATTGATAAGTAGAAAAGTAGGCAGAAGAAAAACTGAAATGCATATAAAGTTCCAAGACAAGTAAAATTCCTCTAATCCTAAATTTAAACTAATATTAACATGAATTTGTGATATTATCTTTCCCTCAAAACAAATAAAAATATTTAGAAACAATGACTAATCCAGTAGCAATGGAATCCCCTAGTGTCTAGATTTGGGTCTCTAAATAAATTTACCTCTTAGCAAGAACTAAGACTCTTGGGGAAATGGCTTATTTAAAGTCAGAGTGCAGGGCCTCCCCGTGGCGCAGCGGTTGAGCGCTGGGTTGCGAAGCTGCCCGCAGCCTCTGCGGCGCCGTTTCGATCCCCGGCTGCTCCCCGGCCACCAGAGGATGGTCCCACATGGCCCGCAGACCTCTCCTGCGGCCCGCTGCTCCCCTCAGCAGTGTACTTCGGTCCTTCTGCCTGCTCTGCTCCCTGCTCTGGCTCTGGTGAATTCTCTCACCCTCCCGCGCTTCTGACTGTACCCAGTGCATGTATAAACAAAAACCAAACAAACAAACAAATAAATAAATAAATAAACATGCCTCTATAAAAAAAAAATAAATTAAAAAAAAAATAAAGTCAGAGTGCAGGAAACATAAAAGATAAGGTTGAAACATCTTAGCCTCTTCCAAATAAGAGACCCTGGGAAAGGCCATTCTGGTCATGACAAAAGTGTGAGGAGAAACTTGAAGAGACTCCCTGTTATCAAAGATGGAATTTTTTGATCATCAATAAGAAGAATGATATCAGTAGACTGAAACATATCAGCGATGTTTAAATCCATGTGCTGGTATTTTTTTTTTTTTTTTTAAATAAAAAGACCCATCTCTTTGATCTTACGTGGAGAAAGGTAGGGAATGTGCTAATTTAATAATTGGTAAATAATCAGTAAATAAATGGAAAGAAACAATTTTTACCCTGACTTTTTGTTAAATATACAATAGAATACTCAAATAGTTGATCTAGAAAGGTACTTCTTTATAGGTAAGCATCAACTAGTAAATGAAGACATAGAAGAATTATGCTACTGGTTTGAAACCCCTAGTAAGTATTGGACTGAGCAGCAGTCATCAATGGCTTCAAAAGCTACTAGGCAAACTGGAGAACTCTAAAATGTAGAGCTTCTCAAACTTTAATGTATGGAAGGATCTTAATGACATTGTTAAATTCTAGAATCTAATTCAGTAGGTCTGGGGTTGAGCTAAGATTCTGCATTTATAGCAAGTCACCTCCTATACTTCTGGTTAGAGCTCCATTCTAAGAAAGAAAATCAGCTCCTCTCATCCACAAGCTGATCTGGTACTGTCAACAGAGCCTTCGCGTTCTCCTTGAACATAAATGATTTCACAGAACAATGTCAGAAAGGTCAGTGTAACCATGAAGGATCAATCAAAAAGCAAGACTATTGGGCCTCCCCGGTGGCCCAGCTGCCCGCAGCCTCTGCAGCACCGGTTCCATCCCCGGCCACCAGCGAGGGTCCCACATGGTGTGTCTCCTGCCGTGCCCACTGCTCCCCTCAGCAGTGTATTTCTTTGTCAGTCTGCCTGTTCTGTTCCCCGCTCTGGCTCTGGTAAATTCTCTCACCCTCCAGCGCTTCTGACTGTACCCAGTGCTTGTATAAATAAATAAATAAATCTTAAAAAAAAAAAAAAACAAGACTTTGTAATGATAATGAATATTAAAGAATCAGAGGTATTTGAACAGAGACTTTGCTATTATTAAAGAGTGCTTATTAAGATGTTTAAGCTTTAATAATGGCAAGTCATTTTTCAAAATATTTACAAAATGATATGATGTCTGCAACTTGCTTTAACATACTCTGGTCAGGGTGGGAAAAAGTATGAGGGGAATGGACAGGAACATCGCTGACGGTTATATCACAATTCTTTTTACTATTAGTCTACCTTTACTATGAATGAAAAGTTCTATAGTAAGAAATTTAGAAAAAACATTTTTTGCCGTTTAATTCAACAAATAATGTTTGAAAGAAGACAACACAAATTGAACAGAGAAAAATTTAGTACAGTAGTTCAAAATGGTGATATATTCTAAAGAAATAAACTATAATGATGTTTAAAGTCTTTCCCATTATTGCAACTGCTTTCATATCATTCTTCAGAGTTATTAGAATATTCACCATATCTTTTTTTTTCTTTTTCCTATTTTTGTAATCACTAACAGATATGTCAGCCTCAAGGGGAGAATTATTACTATGTAAAGGAATTATTACTATGTAAACTCGAGTGATGTCTTTAGAAAAATACTCAATTTAAAGTACAACTCTTAAAAAGAAGAAACATGATTTGAGCAATTACCTGGATCTGTAGCAGACATCAGTGAACCAAAAAATAAACAGTCTGTGAAATGAAAGTCTCCATTTTTCAACTGGCCAGCATATACCATAGCCTTCACAAATCCATACATAATTAACCTGTTGAGGAAAAATAAGATCTTCAAACATAAAGTTGAATGCTGTGTAAATCCATGCTACCATAACTAACAATCTATTGTACTTTCTGAATAAGATTCATGAAAAATTACCACCAATTCATTATACCAATTCAAGGCCCTGCTAGTTCTCAGGGTACTATCTATATCATTGAGTATGAAAGACACATTTACAAAATATCACCACTTTCACCTGGAAAAAAGTAACAAAACATTTTTATAGCAAGTTTCAAAGAAAACAAGATAAATCTCAAGGTTATAAAAAATGGTTTGTCACATGTAGCATAGCAAATCATGCCCACAAATACAGGGGCTGGGTTGACATCTGTAAATGGATTGCTTTTCAGTTTTCAATGTTTTGTCTGCGGGGGTGTCTGAAAAAGGTTCAAATTTCAAGTCACTGCACTGAAAGGGATATTGGCTACTTACAGGGCACTCAGTCAACCAGTCAATTTACAACAGATGAATCTCTACTGCTGGCGTTCAGGTCACTGCCACCCTGGGTAGAGAAGCTCTGTTAGGTCAGAGTAACTTCATCAGACTTGTGAAAGTGAATTCTGAAATGGGTACATTCTGACCTTGCAAGGAAAGCTATTATTTTCATGAGATATAAAATGTTTATCAAATCCACACCATGGAAGGCAAATTGTCTGTTTTGGTCATTCTTTGCCAACCTGTAGCTCTTAAATGGTGCTTATTCAGTTGACTCATTTAGCTAAAATCTTAGTAGAGGAAATATACAGATTGGTGGACTGGACCAAGTAAAAATCACTGTGCATATTTAGAGTCCTAGGAAATTATAAACCCATAGATCAAAAGATGAATGTTTCAATATTCTTATGCATATGATTTTTTTGAAGAAAAAATTCTAAGTTTGGGCCTCCCCGGTGGCGCAGCAGTTGAGCGCTGGGTTGCAAAGCAACCTGCGGCCTCTGTGGTGCCGGTTCGATCCCCGGCTGCTCCCCAGCCACCAGAGGAGGGTCCCACATGGTGCGCAGACCTCTCTTGCCGCCCGCTGCTCCCCTCAGCAGTGTACTTCGGTCCTTCTGCCTGTTCTGCTCCCTGCTCTGGCTCTGGTGAATTCTCTCACCCTCCTGCGCTTCTGACTGTACCCAGTGCATGTATAAACAAACAAACAAATAAATAAACAAAAAAATAAATAAATAAATATACATGCCTCTTTAAAAAAAAAATCTAAGTTTGTGAGCATAGTTTGAAAGACCAGAAATCAGAAATTAGAAAATATAATGTCAATGATAAAGCAGATATTTCAAATTCTCTTAAGAAAAATTTCTCCTTGATAGAATATTTCACACATATCTGCATTTATATTCAGTTTTTACCACATACTAACTATATGATATTAAGGTATTACTAAAATTTTCTGAGCCTCAACTCTTACTCACAAGGCAGGAGTAACAATAATAGACAGCCTCCATAGTTTACTTATTTATTTATTATTTATTTTTTGTGTAGAAGAACTGGGCCAGAGGTGCATGGGGTGAGAGGATTCACCAGAGACAGAGTGGGGAGAAGAACAGGTAGGTTTACTGAAATACACTGCTGAGGGGGGCAATAGGCAAGACAGGAGAGAGGTCTGCTGCACTGTGTAGGTTAGTTCCTTGGCCGGGGATCGACCAACTCAGGCCATAGTGGTGATAGTGCTGAGACTTAACCCCTAGGCCACCAGGGAGGCTCCCACCTAGTTGTCAGTTTTGGGAACATAATAAATTCCCAATGTGATTACTATTACTGCTAATAACAGTTATCAAAGTAGATTCCACTTATTAGTCCTAATAAGTATTTGAATTCATGTTTGAATTCACTCCACAACATTGATCCAATAAGGTAGGCACTAACATTTGCATTTTACAGATGAGAAAACTGAACTCAGTGCAATTGAGTCATTTGCTCAAAGTTATTCAGTTGTGAATCCAGACCTGAACTAAGGGGCTATGGCTCCAGAGCCCAGATTTTAACTGCCACATCTCATTGTCTAGGAGAACAATTCTATAATATATTCCACATTACATAATATACTTGCAACCACCCCATAAGATGGGAGTTCTAGGTAGTGCGGAAGGCAGCAATGGAGCAATCCCTAAGAACCTGGAAATAACACCACCCTCTGAGCTGAACTATTAATACAACCCGTAACTGATTTGAGCAGAGAGACCCACCATTGCTGTGAAGAGTGTGGATTCTAGCAGGGAAACCGAATCTTAGCCAGGCTGAAGTACACAATCTTGGTTGCTAGTGCAAGAGGACTTACTCAAGTCAGCTCACCCACACTCATACCCAGGAGGCCATTCTGCCAGTTACCAGGGTTGACTCATACAAGGTGGCTTCACTCAGCTCATCTGTTCACTCAGTAGATGTTTATTATTGTACCTCTACTATGCTTCAGGCCCTAAGCCATATGTGCAAGGATATATCAGTGACCAAAACAAAATACATACACTCACAGAGTTTGCACTTTAGCAAGATAAATAGCAATAAAAATTAAACACAGTTAAATTATAGCGGTTATCTCCTTCACTGTCTGAATTGGAATCTATTGTCCCGATAATGGCAATGTTCTGCCAATCATAAGGTCATGGAGATACTCACCCATAGTCCTCCTTCAGCCTTCTCTGGGGTTAACCCAGCATCTCCACACATCTTTCTCATTTGAACTACCCTTCAAATATTGAGCATCACAGGCTCTGGCATCTAATAACTTTATGAGCAGGGCCTATATTTCCGAATTTTATACTCTTGTTAATTTTACCAGTTATGAATCTGAGGCTTAGAATTAAAATGATTTGTCCTATATTGCATAGAAGCCATTAAATTGGGCAAGATAAAAAATGAAATGTATACTGCCCAGGCTTGGCAAATTTATATGAAAACTGGAAACCTCATATACTGTTGATAAAAATGAAATAAAGTCCTTATGGAAGCCAATTTGACAATTTATTTTAAAAGTATTACATTTTTAATTCTTATAATTCTGTGTTAGTTACCATAATTACCCCTTTTCATAAATGAGGAAATGAAACTCAAAGAGGTTAGTAACATACCTAGGGCCAAAGAAGTTATGACAGAACTGGATTTGGACTCAGGCAGTTAAACACCAAACTTCCACACCTAACCACAAATTCTATAAAGTTTTTAAAATTGCTTTGTATTAGCAAAGTGTGCACATACACTTTGCTTTTTTAAAAAAAAAAGTGAACAACTTATTTTATCCAAATCAATCTCTGCACTTAAAATAATTATAATTCTAATAGCTTCTTTTTAGATTATCTTTGAGATAATATCAAAAAAGAAGAAAGAGTTCAGTTTAATGTGAGCTGAACTAGTAGTAATAATACAGCCCTTGCTATATTAGTAGTAACAATGGTCCTGGTATAATGGAAATTATAATAAGTCAATATAGCATACATCTTTGATATGCCAGGCACTCTTTTCTATAAATGGCAATTATTTTCATTGTTACTACATTATTACTAGTAAAAACTAGTTATAGCTATATTAACAGGGAGGCTGAAATAGGAACCCATCAGTAATCACCAGCTTTTTATAGAGTGGAATAATCTACCAGCACTTCAGGAGGAGCATTTCAGATGGTACAGGACACAGAAAAGGTGTGTGTGATGGGGAAAGGGGATGTGGTAAGGTCCAGGACCTGCAATGCCTTAAGGATGCATGTTCCAGGTGGGATATCCCCCAGAGAGTGAAGTTGGAGGCAGGGCTCTTTAGATGGACAGCCACAGAACTGCCTCATAAAAAGCAAACTTGTTGGGCCTCTCTATTGGTGCAGGGGTTAAAAACAGTACTATTAAGCTATGGGCAGCCACTGCAGCAAGAGTTTGATCCCCTGCCAGCCAGGGAGCTACCCACATGGCACAGCAGACCTCTCCTGCCTCACCCGCTGCTCCCCTCAGCAGTGTAGTTCAGTCAATCCACCTGTTTTGCTCCCCACTCTCTTGGTGAATCCTCTCACCACCCCCCCTCACCTCTGGCTTACACCCCAGTTCTTGTATGCATAAATAAATAAATCTTTTTAAAAAAAATTTTAAATCACTAAAAAAAAAAAAAGCAAACTTGTTGATAACACTGGTCTGCACAAGTAGGAAGCTGGATACCATGCTGAAAATAACCTGCTCTCAAAGACCAGAGTGGCATGTGATGGCAGTCATGTCACTTATGCTAATAAAAAGCATCAGGGAAAGGGGAGTCCGGGGAAATGCCCAACACAATGCTCCACACACTCACTTTATTGAATTTTTATGATGTGCATACTGATTTTGGATATCATGAGTTTGTCTCATGCTATTACAGCTGCACTCCTAAAGGCATGCTGTGAAAACGTTTCAAAATAAAAAGTTCCAGGAGGTTCAATTGCTTAGAAGAATTTTTAGTATGCCATCTTAATCTCTCAAAGTATTTTTAAAAAAGACAGTACTTTCCCCCCTTTTAAAAAATAGCCTTGATCGAGTCATAAATAAAGCCTCCCAAAAAAGGCAGCTTTTGAATGTCTAGGGAGAAGCAAAGGGAGTTGTCAGTCTGGAGACACAGCTGTGTGGACCTGTCCTATGAGCTGTGAGGAGAGCTAATCCTGGCCAGGAAAGCGGAGCAGCCATGACATGGGGCTCACTCTAAAATGGGAAAACCCAGTGTCAACGGGCTCTGGAAGCACGATGAAGGTGGTCGTCTGAGTCCACGTCTTTGATTTGTATATCTAAATGCTTTTCTTTGGATAAGTGTCTTTCTGCACTCATTTGTTCACCTTTAATGGCTAATTTCAAGCTCACATTTTCTTTTTTTCTGGGGCAAGATGTCAAGGGTAGTACCCTACAGGGGAGCTCATAAATTCTTTTCATTAACAGCTTTATTGAACTATAGCTGCCTCACAATGTGGTGTATGTGTAAAGCAGCACTGTGACGGTTTGGTGTATGTATGGACTAGTCTGTTCCAAGGAGCCCATGAAGCTCGTCAGCCCGTTGCAGCTCAAACAAGTGCTCAGATCGCCCATTCTGGAGAGGACTCTGTTGTTCCACACTTTTCCTACTGGTCTCCAGACTTTGTTCTGTTTCATTGAAGGTTGGGGAGAAGAAGAGGATGTAAACATCAATTGGGTGACTTGTGGGCATTCTAAAAGGGAAGGTGAATCAGGTGAAGCTCCCACTCAGCTTGGCTATGGTGACAGGTGATCCCTGGACAGCTCCTACTGCAGGTACAAGGAATGGAGAAGACTGCAGACCACCTGCCCTTGATACTCTCCCCTTTCAAAGGGGTGGAGGGAGACAGGAAAAGGAAGGTTGTATCCATTTCTTTGTCCCTAAGTTGAAAGAACGGACTGGTTATGGAATGCAGTGGAGATAGAAGGGATGGGAGCAATGAGAGTAGAATTCATTGTCAGAAGTGGAAGTGTATGTGTTTCAAGGTTGGGAAATTGCATGCCAGGACATTTTGTTACAGGGCAAACCCTGATATAAAATGGGTTGTCTGACTGTGGTTCTTCACCTGCGTGCTTAAAGGGGACTTATTAATGCTAAACTGCAGACATGCACAAAAGGTTGATAAAAGATTTATTTACAAGGGAAGGGAAAATGGGGAAATGAATAACTCAGGGAGAGAAGAGGGAGATAAGTTCGTAAATGCGTCCTACCCATTCCGCTGACCTGGTATCTCAATGACCCGCTGAGCTGGCAGAAAACTGAGCACACTGCGTGGCCAAGAGGGCGACCCCCGGCCACATGGCCAGTTGAATACTCAAACCAAAAGCCCACTCACTTAACTGCACCCTCAGGTCCTCGCAACCTTCCCTTTGGTGATCACAGGATTTGTCTTTCCCAGTGTCTTGATGGAGTGGGGGTGGAGTCCACAAAGCTTGCATGGAGTTTGCTCAGGACATCCTTTCCCCCTAACAATTTGACTACTCAAAAATTTCGTTTGCAAAGGCCATCAATGAGACACCTACATCCCCACACCTCTCTCTATCCCTGTCCTCTACTCTCATCTTAGAAGACTGTGGAAACTTGCTTCTTCTCAAATCACTTACCTATCATTGGGCCTAGCCCTGAAATTTTAAGAAGACCATGGTAAGACTAAAAATATGCTGGGGAAAACGGCAGGAATAAACATTTCAACTTTTGCTGAGAACCTGTTTTGACTAGACCCCATATTTGTGCACTTTATATATTGTTTAATCTTCACACACATACAGACGGACATACACATGCACACACACGCACAAAACATACACACAAACCACAGACATTCACACATCACAGACATATAGACATACATCACACGCAAATACACTCATCCCAACAGGAGATCATCATGATTCTAATTTTACAAACTTGAAAAACCAGCAAGTGTTAGAAATGGGATGTTCACACCTGTGTGGCCTCTTTTCCACCTAAGGCTTCTGCACCTGTGTGTGCATGACCTCTCTGTGCACCAATGTGTGTGTGAGGTTTGGATAAGGCACTCCCTCATGGCTGCCTTGAGACAATGGCCCACATCACGAGGTGGCCAGGGACGCCTAGATAGCCGCTGACTGATTGTGTGGTCAGGGTCCGAGAAGGTCTGGGAGTAGCTGGGAAATTATACCAAACACCTGAATGGGAAGTTCTTCCTGTATATGTGGCCAACACGTCCCTCCCCGTTCCCCTTAAAGTTGATTATCCTTTGTCTCCCCTGGACCTTGTTCCCATAAAGAAGAATGCCCTTTGTTTGGCCTGGACCTTGCTTCCCTGCCACTGTCACATAATCAATCATGCTCATTCACTATTACAGAATCTTGCTTTGCAAGCCTGCTCCACGACTTGTCTCTCAAACATGCCTGGGGGAGCGTGCTTGAGTGTTCCCGACCACCAGAGTTGGCGCCCGAACAGGGATTGGAAACAGTAATCAGTGCCAGGGGCACCTTCGCCATTCCTCGAGCCAGGTGTAAGGCATAGGACGTCCAAATCAGTTACACAGTAGCCCCACAGACCTTGGGGTTTGCAAAAGAATGGTAAGTGAGGTACTCTCTCTCTTTCACAAGTAGTGTCTTTGTTCCTCTCTTTTTATTGTTCCTGTCCCATCTTTTTATTTCCTTTTCTATCAGGTCTGTTCACTTAGCCGCAAAATTAATGGTGGGCATGGGTTGACCATTTAAAGAGTCAAAACGGCCGGTAGCTACCTTCTAGATGACTCTGGTGACAGGATAAACTGGTACCTGGACCAGATTAGGGGGACCAGCGCCACCCTCCTGTCTGAAGGCAAAGTCTGGTCATCATATGAGTGACCTCGGTCTCCCAAAACAACAGGCACATATACCATCTAGAAGTCTGTATGGGGGTTGCATATGAAGGTTTGGTCTCCTGGAAACCCGGGCTGTATTCCCCTGCACTAGGCAGAAGACTACAATACCGAGACACAAGTCTGAGAGTGCCCGCCCCAGTATGACAGCTGGGGAAGCCCTCTCCCAACTAAGCACTATACTGAGACCCGACACAATCAGCCCAAACCCTGCAGTTTGCCCCTGTTAGGATTTTTATTTACAGCCTGATGTTTTGCTTTCCTATTACTATTTTGCATTCCTTTATCAATAAAATAAGTTAATAATGGTAACAATCTCTCTCCTGCTCAACTCTAACATCGTGAGCAACTTAAGGCACTCCTCCTATCTGTAGCATGTAAAGTTTCCGATAAGGAGCTCAATCAATTCCCACAAGTGCTTAAATATCACTGGAACTGGTGCCACTTAGCCATCAGGGCTTCGGACATAAAATCTGCCAAACAGGCTTGGGCTGGTGATCCAGAGCCCCTGCCTCCTCCACCACTTTTTTTTTTTTTAAATAATAAATTTTATTTTTATATTCCCCCATACAATTGCAAACGCCCCATTCTGACCCCAATCCTTCCCCTCCCGCCCCCCACCCCACAAAAAGTGTCTCTGGTTCATAGTTTTTTGTTGATTTTGATTTTCACTTTCTTATATTCATTTTCCTGGTCCCTTATTTAAGTTTTCTAGATTCCTGCTATGAGTGAGACCATCCGGTATTTTTCTTTTTCTTTTTGGCTTATTTCGCTGAGCATGATCCCTTCCAGCGCCATCCATGTTGCTGCAAATTGCATGTGTTTATCTTTTTTGAATGCTGAGTAATATTCCATGGTATATATGTACCACATCTTCTTGATCCAGTCATCTATTTTTGGGCATTTGGGTTGTTTCCAAAGCTTAGCTATTGTAAACAGTGCTGCTATAAACATAGGGGAGCAGGTGCTCTTTGGAATGGATGTTTCTGAGTCCTTTGGGTAAATACCTAGGAGTGGAATTGCTGGATCATATGGAAGCTCTATGTTTAGTAGGTCCAGAAATCTCCACACAGCTCTCCATAGTGGTTGGACCAGTTTGCACTCCCACCAACAGTGCACAAGAGTTCCTTTTTCTCCACACCCTCGCCAACATTTGTTGTTGCTAGTTTTTTTAATATGTGCCATTCTCACTGGTGTAAGATGGTATCTCATGGTAGTTTTGATTTGCATTTCCCTGATTACAAGTGATGTTGAACATTTTTTCATATGTCTGTTGGCCATTTGCATTTCCTCTTCAGAGAAGTTTCTTTTTAGCTCTTCTGCCCATTTTTTGACTGGATTATTTTCTTTGTTGTTGCTGAGTCTCATCAGCTCTTTGCAGATTTTTGTGATCAGTCCTTTATCATTAGTGTTGGGTGCAAAAATGTTCTCCCAGTTGGTGGGGTTTCTCTTTGTTTTTGTTATTGTCTCTTTTGCTGTGCAGAAGCTCTTTAATTTGATGTAGTCCCAGCTGTTTATCTTTGCCTTCACTATCACTGCTTTGGGTGATGTGTCTGTAAAGATGTCTTTGATGTGCAAATCCCGTAGCGTTTCGCCTATATTTCCTTCTATGTATTTTATGGTTTCAGGTCTTATGTCTAGTTCTTTAATCCATTTTGAGTTGATTTTTGTGTATGGTGTGAGGTAGTGGTCAAGCTTCATTCTTTTGCATGTAGCGACCCAGTTTTCCCAGCACCATTTATTGAACAAACTTTCTTTGCTCCAATGCATAGTCTTTGCTCCTTTGTCAAAGATTAGTTGACCATAAATCTGTGGGTTTATTTCTGGATTTTCTATTCGATTCCATTGGTCTGTATGTCTGTTCTTGTGCCAATACCATGCAGTTTTGATGATTATGGCTTTGTAGTATAGTTTGAAGTCTGGGAGTGTGATGCCTCCATTTCCTTCTTTTTTTTTCAGTAGAGCTTTGGCTATTCGGGGTTTTTGGTGATTCCATATGAATTTCATCAATAATTGTTCTATTTCTTTGAAGAATGCCATTGAGATTTTGATTGGAATAGCATTGAATCTGTATATTGCTTTTGGTAGGATGGCCATTTTAATAATGTTTATTCTTCCAATCCATGAGCAGGGGATGTCTCTCCATTTCTTTGTGTCTTCTTCTATTTCTTTTAACAGTGTTTTATAGTTTTCTTTGTATAGGTCCTTTACCTCTTTTGTTAGATTTATTCCCAAATATTTGATTTTTTTTGTTTCAATAATAAAAGGGATGGTTTTTTTGATTTCTTCTTCTTCAGATTTATTGTTTGTGTATAGGAAGGCTACTGACTTTTGCGTGTTGATTTTGTATCCTGCCACTTTACTGAATTGATTGATGAGTTGAATTAGTTTTTCTGTGGAGATTTTGGGGTTCTCTATGTATATTATCATATCATCTGCAAATAGTGATAGTTTGACTTCTTCTTTTCCTATTTGGATTCCTTGGATGTCTTTCTCTTGTCTTATTGCTCTGGCTAGGACTTCCAGTATTATATTGAAAAGCAGTGGTGAGAGTGGACATCCTTGTCTTGTTCCAGATCTTAATGGAATTGCTTTCAGCTTTTCACCATTGAGAATGATACTGGCTGTTGGCTTGTCATAGATGGCCTTTATGGTGTTGAGGTATGTTCCTTGTATCCCAAGAATTTCAAGGGCTTTTATCATGAATGGGTGTTGCACTTTGTCGAAAGCTTTCTCAGCATCTATTGATATTATCATATGGTTTTTATATTTCTTTTGGTTGATGTGTTGGATAACGTTGATTGATTTTCGGATGTTAAACCATCCTTGTGCCCCTGGAATGAATCCAACTTGGTCGTGGTGAATTATCTTATGGATACATTGTTGGATTCTGATAGCTAAAATTTTATTGAGGATTTTTGCATCAGTGTTCATTAGGGAGATTGGCCTATAGTTTTCCTTTTTTGTGTTGTCCTTATTCGGTTTTGGTATTAGTGTAATATTGGCTTCATAGAACGTGTTTGGTATTGTCCCTTCCTTCTCAATTTTTTGGAAGAGTTTGTGAAGGATAGGCACTAATTTGTCTCTGAATGTTTGGTAGAATTCATTTGTAAATCCATCAGGTCCTGGGCTTTTGTTTTTGGGGAGGTTTTTAATTACCATTTCAATTTCGCTGCTTGTAATTGGTCTGTTTAGGTGTTCTATTTCTTCTTTATCTAGCGTTGGGTGATTGTAGAGTTGTAGGAATTTGTCCATCTCCTCTAGATTGTTGAACTTGTTTCCATATAACTGTTCATAGTAGTTACTGATTATTCTTTTGATTTCTGCTGTGTCCGTTGTGATTTCTCCTCTTTCATTTATGATTCTGTGTATTTGTGCTTTCTCCCTTTTTTCCTTTGTGAGCCTGGCTAGGGGTTTGTCTATTTTATTTATTTTTTCAAAGAACCAGCTCTTGGTTTCATTGATCTTTTGGATTGTTTTTTTAGTTTCAATTTCATTTATTTCTGCTTTGGTTTTTATTATTTCTTTTCTTCTACTGGTTCTGGGGTTTTTTTGTTGTTCTTTTTCTAGATCTTTGAGCTTCGAGATTAGGTTGTTTCTTTGAGTTCTTTCTTGTTTTTTGATGTGAGCTTCTATTGCTATATATTTTCCTCTTATTACTGCTTTTGCTGCATCCCATACATTTAGGATATTGGTGTCCTCCTTGTCATTCAATTCAAAGAATTTTTTAATTTCTTCTTTGATCTCCTCGTTAGTCCAGTGGTCTTCCAGTAGTGTGGTTTTTAATCTCCATGAGGTAGGATAGTTCCTTGCCTTCTTTTTATGATTTATTTCTAGTTTGATGCCTTCGTGGTCAGAAAAGATGGTTGGTATGATTTCAATCTTGGTGTATCTGTTGATGTTTGTCTTGTGCCCCAGTATGTGATCAATCCTGGAGAATGATCCGTGTGCGCTTGAGAAAAATGTGTACTCCGTTTTTTTGGGGTTTAGTGTTCTATAGATGTCTCTTAAGCCCAAATGCTCTAGGTCCTTATTTAGAGCTTTAGTTTCTTTACTTATTTTTTGTCTTGTTGATCTATCCATTGTTGATAGTGGTGTGTTGAAGTCTCCCACTACGTATGTGTTTTCTCTGATGTCTGTTTTCAGAGAGGACAACAGTTGTCTGATATATTTTGGTGCTCTTTCGTTTGGTGAGTATATTTTAATGAGTGTTATTTCTTCTTAAAGTATTGTCCCCTTAATCATAATGTAGTGACCATTGGGGTCTCTTTTTATTTTTTTGAGTTTGAAGTCTGTTTTATCTGATATCAGTATAGCTGTTCCTGCTTTCTTTTTTGGCCCATTTGCTTGTAGGATTGTTTTCCATCCTTTAACTTTGAGCCTATTTTTATCTTTTGTAGCTAAATGTGTTTCCTAGAGACAGCAAAAGGTTTCCTCCACCACTTTTAACACCCCGCAGCTGCCTGTACCTTTGCTCCAGTGCTGGGGCCACTGGCATGTCTCTGCTGCCTTCCTGCTATAGGAGAACTGAACTCTCCTTTTATCCACCTCAACAAATTGTTCTGATCCATTCTATAGTTAAAAAAAATTCTGTTTGCCTGTGTTTACCTAATCTTTAAATCTAGACTGTTTAAGGTAAAATCTGCTTGAATGTAAAATTGATATAAGCTTGAGACCTACATCTTTGATAATTAATGGTTAATATTTAACACTCATTCTACATAACAATTTTAGCTTCTGTCTTATTATAAACCTCCTTGACTAAATTTATATTAAAAATGTGGTTAAATAAATGTGTCAAACTTAAACTAAGACCTAACTTCAAGCCAAAAAGGTGACTCTTAAAAATACACTTGCTTTACCTAAAAAAGTTACGAAATAACTAAAATTTAATCAAATTTTCTCAGTGTCTTCACAAATAAAATAACTACTCCTTAAAATTAGTACATGTGGCCAAAGTTTTAAATAAAAATCAAGAGATCTCTGTGTTTGTCATTGTTTCTGTGTCCGTCATTGTCTTTTACCTCTGGAGGGTTAATAATAAACAGTGCATATATAAATTCTAATTAAAAACCCCAAATTTTGAGATCATGATCTACAATTTTGGTAAACAAAAGCTAAGTTAAAATTTAATAGTTTAATCTAAAGCATTCATGCCTTAAGGTTATAATCTTGGATAGTAATACTTTTATTCTGTGTTCAAATGTGTTTACTTAAAAATTTTTTTTAAAAAGGCTATGGTATTCAATTTCATATAATCTCACCTTAAATACAATTAAGATGTGTCATCTAGTCTAAAGGGATAACAGTAAAACAGCTATTACAATATCTAAAAATCTAAAAATTAAAAACAGATAAAATAACTAAATATAAATAATATGTGCTTAAATTTTTTGTGTGTTTTAACACCTTGCTACAAAAAAATTAAATTAATATCAATAATATACTAATAAAAATGTTTAAAAATACATGAAACTACTTAAAATCTAATATAGTCTGGTAGAAAGTCCTAACACTGACTGCAGTAAAGAGCCAATGGGCTCCTTAAAGCAAAAAGGGGTTATCTAGAGAAAAACCTGCCCCCATAAAAACAAATATGCAAAGCTCTATTTCTTATATTGCAAATCCTTCCAGTATAACAGCTGTTGAACAACATTTCATTTCTAACTCTTCTAGCCTCACAGCAGTAAAACATTTTATCCCAGCAGAACCAAATCCTAAGTCCTTGGTCTTCTACCACCATCCATTATAAGTATCAACCTGGCTGGGACCTGTAGAACTTTTAACCTGTGGGAGAGGGTGTGTTTCTGTTTTGTCACCTACAGGAGCACTCTGGGCTGCAGCAAAAACAATAAGATTGACCAGTCTTCTCGAAAATGACAGTTCACCGTGCCAGAAAAAAACTCATCTGGGGACACATCAAAGGCCTAACGACCCTGCACCTCTGAAAATCTATTCCTGGCTCTCTTCTCTTGCATTACAGCTAACTCCTTGGTGGGAACTCTTCTTCTGCTCCTCCTTTTCATTCTTACGGTTGAGGTGCAAGTAAAATGGGCACATGTTATCCACCACCCTGTCTTTCATGTTGTTGGCTGGGGGCACCCAGAACCCCCCATTGGATCTAATGACTCCCTTCTCTTAGGTGGACCAGCGATTCCGGGCTCTTTAGCTGAACATCCTACTCAGACTCTTACTTCCCTTTGGACTGTTCCTAGTCCAGGACACCCCTTGACTTTATCTCTAATATTTACTGTGGCCTGGTGTCCTCACAATAGTATAAATAGTTTGGTTCATCTCTGCCTAATGAATCTCAAATTGTTATTATACCTCATCAGCGTTTTCTACACACAATAGGATTAGGAAAGTTCGGCCCTAAATTTAATCATGACCCCCTCCTAGCCCCTTCAATTCCTATTTGCCATTGAACATGGACTCAAATGGAGCATATCAACAACAAATTCCATTGGGAAGTTATTTAATGAGACTTGCTCCCTACAAAATTGGCGCCCACAAGGCCTCCTAGTTATGGATAGAAACAGAACATGGGAGGGCAAAACCTGGAATTGGATCTTTCCTTATTTTTACCAGCACTCCCATCGTTTATGGAATCCATGCTGGTCCTGTCTTAAGACTTTGCTGCATTGGGCTTCCTGGTGGTGCAAGGGGTTATGCACAGCACTGTGAAGCTATCCGCAGGCAGCCTCTGCAACACTAGCTTGATTCCTGGCCAGTCAGGGAGCTACCCACATGGAACTGCAGACCTCTCCTGCCTCGCCCACTGCTCCCCTCAGCAGTGTTTTCAGTCAGTCTGCCTGTTCTGTTCCCTACTCTGTCTCTGATGATCCTCTCACCTCCACCCCACCCCCCACACCTCTGGCCTGTACCCCAGTTATTGTATGCATAAATAAATAAAATTAAAAAAAAGACTGCTGCAACAATCATTCCATGTGCTTTCCTCTTAAGACAAAGATTTGGAGACCTGCTACTCCACACTTCCCTATGTCCTACACCATGGCCTGGCTCAGTTCAGTAGGGGCAAATTTCTATGGGATTACACAGATACATCTGAGTCTATACCTCCTGCCCTTATCTGTTTTTGTTAACCCCTTCTCTGGTGATAATATTACCTTTCCAGCTGCCACACTTATCATGCCCTGTATTGACAATCACTATCTTCTCAATCATTCTGTCTTTTTTATTAAACAGCAGATACAAGCTTGGATTTCTGTTAACCTTAAAAGCCTCTGGGAAGGCGGCTCCCCCTTAGCTCAATTGATTCATGCTCTAGGCTGCCATAATAGGGTCCACTGCTTTTTTGCCTCTTTGATTGCTTGAATCATTTTTCTTGTTTCTCTGGCTGTTACTGCAGCTTTGGCCAAATCTGCTTTGATCAAATCTGTTCAAACAGCTAATGAGGTTCACCAATTTATGACTAATACCACTGAACATTTGTTGTTACAGGCCCATATAGATCAACAGATTCTTGCCTAGCTTGATGCCCTAGAATCTGCTGCACTATGGCTTGGTAACACCAGCAGCCTTTATGGACATGGTCGCTCCTCCAATGTGACACCAGTTATGATCAGTTTTGTGTCACTAGTCTCACTGCCGATAACTTCACTTCTTTCTCTTGGATGTCTCAAAAACAAGACCCGCTTCAGTCATATAGTTCTACCTTACATACTTCTGTCCAAAAACTGCAAGATAAACTTCTTCTCGAACTCCATAAAATCCAGCAAGAAACATCACAACAAACTATTGAAGTTCTCCTGACCTTCTCTTCCCTAGCGATCCCCACACCTGGTAGTCTAACTTTACTATTCATACTTTTTTTTTTTAAGATTTATTTTTTTATTTATACAAGCACTGGGTACAGTCAGAAGCGCGGGAGGGTGAGAGGATTCACCAGAGCCAGAGCGGGGAGCAGAGCAGGCAGAAGGACCAAAGTACACTGCTGAGGGGAGCGGCAGGCGGCAGGAGAGGTCTGCGCACCACGTGGGACCCTCCCCTGGAGGCCGGGGAGCAGCCAGGGATCGAACCCGCACTGCGGAGGGTTGCTGGCAGCCTCGCAACACAGCGCTCAACCGCTGCGCCACCGGGGAGGCCCACTATTCATACTCTTATTCAGATTCTTATATCTCTTTGTTATTTTCTTTGTCTTTATAATAGGACTCTGGTGCCACCGCCGTGCTCACTTCCACCGACAACAACAACATTCAATGATGATTTACCAGCTGACCCTTCATTGTCCTTAACCCCCCACCTCCCCTTCTGCCCGATAAAACAGAAAGGGAGGATATGTGGACTCTTTCACACCTAAGGCCTCTGCACCTGTGTGCACATGGCCTTTCTGTGCACCTATGTGTATGTGATGTTTGGATAAGGCACTCCCACATGGCTGCCTTGAGATAATGGCCCACATCACGAGGTGGCCAGGGACACCTAGGTAACCATTGACTGATTGTGTGGTTAGGGTCTGAGACAGTTTGGGAGTAGCTCAGAAAATAATACACCAAGCATGCCCCCGGAAGCGTGCTGGCATGCTTCTGACTGCCAGACACTTGTCTCTTTTTATCTTGCTATTGGACATTCAGTAGAAATTTTAACATACTTTTACCTTAGTTTCCCAAATTTAAAAAGTCAATCAAATGTGTTCTTTGTTCCTGCTTGAATGTCTTTGATAGGGTATCATAATGGCACAAGTTTTTCAAGGGAGCTCAGAAGACATTCTTTTCAGGTTTTGATTTTGCTTGTAACAGGTTATGGAAAGCATGGAACCTTTCATGATTTTCCTAATAAGCCAGTTCTACATCTGACTTCCTGTGGGTCTAGAAGTGACCACCATGTGTTTTTATTTCTAGGAATGGAAAGATTGAAAGAAAAGTTCACGAGGAACATAGGATTTTCTGATGAAAGCTGGAGTCCAAGGAATTGGGACCTGGGTTTCTTAGAATGAAGTTAAGTCGGTGCACTTTCCACATACTCTATGGCCACCCACCTGCCAGCCTGTCACCTTCCTGGGACACCCTGGAGGCTTCACTCAACCCTGCACCTTTAATACCAGTTCATGCTCCTGTGCAACTGTCTGCAAGGTCTCAATCCTCCCTCAGTGAAGTGCTTCAGTGTCCTTGGAGGGAATGTGGTCTAAGCTCCAAGGATGAATATGGAGTGGGTAAGAGTCACAATGTTGACTGAATGAAGTAAGAGAGATATTGAAAGGTGAACCGCACACAGGAGAGAACTTGACCTTGCACCCTGACCACATGTCTACTTATATCCACTATTTGGGTGCATACTGGCTCATCAATGGTTGAGAAGGGATCACTTTGGAGGAGACTGAGAGGGGCAACAAAGATAGCAGAGAATTCAGCACACTCGTTAAATTACAACCTCCTTTGAAGAACTCGTCAGTCTATACCAGCATCTTGAGATGCGTGGACCCTAAAATGCTCTGAGTGACAGTCCTCACTTTTCTCTACTTCCGGGCATCCAAGGCACTTCCTACTTGCAGAAAACAAACTTGGTGCTCACTGTATATAATCACTGCACTTTCATCAACCTTCCTCTTTCAACTTGCATCACCAGTGTCCACCCTCTGACCTGGTTTACAGAGCTCTCGCTCTCTTTCATCCAGGTCCTAAGTTCCACCCATGAATTCTTTGTGTGTCTGTGTTTCCTGACTAATTTGAAGAGAGACAGCACGCGTGGACTGTGCTTTTCTGCCCTCTGTACTCCCTTCTCCATTCTAGGCACATGTTTCATAGGATTGCTGGATGCTAAGTGACTATAAAGATGAATTAGATATGATTTCTGTCCTCTAGGAGTTCACAGCTTAGGAGGAGGAATAAGCAATATGTATCTAGTAGTAGCCTAGTAGTAACTGGGCTACTAGGTGAAAAATAATAAATTTGGCAAGAAAACTAAAGAAAAAGTGTTATGAGATTCAGAGGAAGAAAGAACCATGGTCTGGGGAAAAAGAAGTGGAGGGGAATTTTTCTTAAAGAACAGATGGAATAAGATATGAGTTGTGGTAGGAGGGGAAGGATGAGGGGTGTCACTGCAAAAAAGTATAACATGGGCCACCAAAACAAGTGCCTGGTGGTGCAAGGGGTGTGGATAGTGAAAGCTGAAAAATATAGTGTGGATTCTTCCTTGTGCATTGCTATACAGTCTAATTCAGTGGATCCCAATTTTTGCTGCATATTTGAATCACATCAGGACTTTGAAAATCATAATGTTCAGACTAGACCAGACAAAGAATATAAAGTATCTGTAAGTGATAACCAGGCATTAGTACTTCTTTTTTTAGTTCTTCCATTGTTTAAAATGTAACCAGGGACCAGAACCAGTGTTAAATGACCATATCTTGGGGCCTCCCTGGTGGCACAAAAGGTTAAACGTCAGCACTACGAAGCTACCTGCAACCACTGGAGCAGATTTTCGATCCCTGGCCAGGGTAGTGACCCACATGGCACAGCAGACCTCTCCTGTCTGGCCTGCTCCCCTTAGCAGTGTATTTCAGTCAATTCACCTGTTCTGTTTCCCACTCAGATATACATACATTTTTGATTAGTAACAAGTAAGGATGTTTGTGCAAAATATCTCAAAGTATGAAATTCATCCAGGCAAGAGCAGAATGACTACCTTGAACACCCAGACTCTAGGCCACTACCTTTCATTTTTAAATATGCACACACGCGGGCCTCCCCTAGTGGCTCAGGTGGTTGAGCACAGCGCTGTGAAGCTGTCCGCAGCCTCTGCAGTGCCAGTTCGATCCCGGCCGGCCAGCAAGGGTCCCACATGGCACAGCAGACCTCTCCTGTCATGACTGCTGCTCCCCTCAGCAGTGTATTTCATCAGTCTGCCTGTTCTCTGTTCCCTGCTCTGTCTCTGGTGAATCCTCTCACCCTCCCGCGAATCTGGCCTGTACCCCAGTTCTTGTATAAATAAAAAAAATCTTTAAAATAAAATAAATATGCACACATGGCTCTTCCCTCATGTGTTTGCACTCCTCCTGAGAGGCAAATAAAATCAAGGTCCATTATTATCAGAGCCTTTGCTCTACCATTTTCCCTACAGTGTGAATTTGAAGTAGTTTGGAATCAGTTGTTTAGATCAGGAGAAAGAAATACACAAATTATTCACCCAGAATCTATATTTAAAATACAGAAACAACAACCCACCCAAGTTAATGGCTTGGTCAAAGTGAACCCAAACACTGTTGGATAGGAGCCAAGACTAGAATGCATGTTTTTTCTTAAAGAGATTTCACTACAACTGGCAGTTTCCACAGACTCTCTGCTCCTGGGATTTCAGCAGAAGGAATAAAACATGTGATATGAATATAACTTGTCTAATCTATTACTCCCCGAAAATTTTTCATTCATTCTCCTATTCCCTAAAGCATATTTATGTTCTTCAGCGGTACCATTTGGAAACCTATAACCAACTGCTGGCTGCAATAGAATGTAAATAACAAGAAAATGGAACTTTCTGGATTTTCCCCAATCAGATCAATTTTCTAGCAAGTAGCAAGCTCATAAATAATGTAGATGTTTAAAACATATTTAGCTCAAATTAAGATGTTACACTGTTTACTGTTTGATTGATAGCTTTAAAATATATTATCATTATTTGTGACAAGATGGAACGAACAATTTATCTTGTGGGTGATGAAAATCAAACATTATTGCTTGCCCTGATTTTTTTTTCAACCACGTCAATATATTTTGAAAACTTTTTGATCTAGAGTAGAGAGCTTCAAATGGCCTGTTTTGCTGATGATACATATAATACAACTTGTTATTTAAAATTCCTTTGCAATTGTAAGTGAACTTCTTTTGTAATATTTCAAATATTTCTGTCCCTTTTCAGAGCAGACAGACTGTTCTCATGGGCTTCTCTTGGAATAAGAGTTTACCCACTAATCAAATATAGAAGAAATCACCACAATGATTTAGAGAACAAGAAAACAAAAACATTTACTCCTTTGAAGTTTTTATTCCCTTGTAGCTCCTGAGTTTTGAGATCACTGCCTCTGCTCCCCATCACCCTGATAATGCAAGGAAGTATCTGCTAGAGAAGGTAATTTGGTTTGCTAAATTTGGTTGCTCAAGTGTCCCAGACATAATCTCAACTGAGCAGACTCCAAGGCTAGATCTACATGGGGCCAGCCTGACCAATCTATGGGAACAGTTCTGATGATCGGTCACTCAGTCTCCGGTCTATAAAACACCAGATCGGTGATGTAACCACACTCCATCGATGCCCCAGCTTCCCACCTACTACCCTCAGCCCCAGCCCCGTGACCTGTGGACTGGTTCTATAGTCTTAGGCACTGAACTGAAATATAGACAGTTCTGAGTGTCCCCATGTGATTTGAGTAGAACAGACTTTGGATCCAGCTGTAAAACAGAACCTGGTAGCCAGAACCATCTGTAGATGAGGTCCAAGTAAATGGACCGTCACTTAGTGATCTGATTTCTTAACGACTCCATTCCACAGAGAACAAAGTACCAGCTGTCACCAAGTGTGAATCATCATTAAGGAAACAAAACAGAAGGAATAAGTGACTTCTTTATAAAAATGAGGTTCAGAGGAAGAGGAAAGAATCAAGAAATACATTTTTAGTTGAGTCAATGAAAAAAGATGATGGGGGGGGGTTCTACTCCAGTACACACAGACATAAACAACACTGTGATAATTCAGTGTAGCAAGTGCCTCTGCCACTGTTCTGCTTGTTGACCATAAGCAAATTAGGAGGCAAGATACTTCATCTTTTCCTCAGTTTCCTTGTCCACAAAATGAGCATCATGATAGTTCTTCTTTTATGTTATTACCAGAGCATCACTGATGAATGATTCAAGAGGTTGTTTAGTTTTCCAGGTAGTACTTTTGTTAGGTAAAACAAAAGATTATTTAGTATTAATATATCCCTCAGACAACCAGCTTTGATAGGAAAACTGTCAAGAGAAGTCTTTAATAAGTTGTTCTTAACACAGGAACATAAGTTTGATTCTAATTTCATTTCAGAAAGTTGTCAAGACCTCATGGGGAAGAGGTTGTTCCTTTAGGTGACTATTCATTCTGGATCTAGGATTGTAGGTACTTACATCAGAGTGACTACTTCTAGCAAAACCATTGCATTCCATGTTAGGTTCCCTTAAAGAAATTATGGAGGTAGTCAAGCAGAAGATGGTGATGGTAAGTGTGCCAGGAAGCCACAATTGCTTAATAGGTTTATTCACCCATGTAATAAAAATATTTAGACAAAGGTTACAATATTGCCAATGTCCAGAGAAGTGACAAGAGAAGATGATAAAAGCAGACAGATTTCTGGCAAAAGAAGGAGTGGAGGAAGATAGATGTTTATCAATGGAAGCTACTTGAGCAAACCTTTAGACATAAATGCCACTGTATTCTATATTGGTGAGATTTTAACTAAAATAGCTTCCTATTCAAAACACCCTGTTTGGAAAATGCCTCTTAGAATACTGAGAGTGTAGAAACATTTTAGATGGCCAAAAGATAGAGTTGTGTTTGTTATCTGGGAGATGGCTAAGAAGCAAGTGATTTCAGAGTTTGAAACTAGAGGGTGATGGCCTCCCTGGTGGTGCAAAGGGTTAAGACGCAACCTACGAATCTGTCTGCAGCCACTGCAGCATGAGTTCAATCCCCAGCTAGGAAGCTGCCCACATGGTGCTGTAGAACCTCTCCTGTCTCACCCGCTGCTCCCCTCAGCAGTATATTTCAGTTAATCTGCCTTTTCTGTTCCCTGCTCTGTCTCTGGTGAATCCTCTCACCACCCTATGCCTGTGGCCTGTACCCTAATTCTTGTATGCAAAAATAAATAAATAAAAAAAAAATAAAACTAGAGGGTGATCACGAGGAAGAGTGGATTTAATCTGCATTCCTCAAGAAAGGCGGGGGTTGGGGGTGGATAAGGGCAAGACATTATAAAGAATCATTTCAGTCTTTTCCAAAAAGTCAACTGGGGAATGCACTATTGTGCACAGCTGTGCATTTCCTTCCCTAGAGGAATTTAGGGATTCCTTAAGTATTCTATAAAAAGTATACTGGTTTAGCCATTAAAAGGATACAGATGTACTTGAGGGAATGGATTAGGGGGGTTGAATGAAATGACATTTAAAGCGACTTCAAACTCTGAAATTTTATGATTTTATAAAAATCTCAAGAAAAAAATAAGAGCAGAGGACAACAGAGGTATTTGGGAAACTTTGTAATTGACAATACTTTTTAGCACTTAATCAGTTATCAAGATAAAAATAAAGAAAAGTTTGGGGGGACCTAAAAATCTGGCAATAGGGATGGATTTTAATAACCAGCATTCTTTTCCTAACTTGCCGGTAACTTCTTCACAAATATTTAGTGTGGGATTAGAATGCGAACAGTTGAAGTTACCTTCATCTGTGTCAAAATCTCAACAAGCCAAGGAGATGGGAGGAGGCATTTACAAAACTCATTTAATTCCCCGAGACTACATAGAGAAACTCATTTTTTCCCCCAGGTGACCCTAATAATATATTTTTCAGTCCCTTCACCATATTCAATGCTAAGATTTCATTCTGGCTTCTTAGGAAGACCTGAAGCACCATGAATTGCAAGCCTGACCACAGGATCTCATCTAGAACCTTGGTGTTAATCCAGTGTCTGTTTTGTAGCAAAGAGGCCAACTCCCACCCAGAAAACTGAGGTTAAAATGGGATAATAGATATTTATGGCCCACTCTCCACCCCCCAAAGTTAAGTACACATTTCTTTCAAATTCACATAGAACACTATCTGAGAGGGTTGGGTCACAAAAGAAGTGCCAATCAATTCATGAAGATTAAACTCATATCAAGTATCTTCTCTGATAAAAATGGTATCAAACTAAAATCAACCACAAAAGGAAATCAGGAGAAACCCATAATATGGAAATTGAACTATTGGATTAAGGAGAAAATCGAAGAAGAAATTAAATATTTGGAGACAAAAATGAAGATTCAACTTATTAGAACCAATGAGACACAACAAAAAACATATTAAGAGGGGAGTATAGAGTGATACAGGCCCACATCAAGAAACAAGAAAGAGCTTAAATAAATAACTTCCCCTCTCACCTTGAGGAACTAGAAAAATCAGAACAATCAAAATAAAAAGCCAGCAGAAGTAAGGACATAAAATATTAGAGTAGAAATAAGTGAAATAGAAATCAAACGAGAGCCAGGAGATCAGGAAAAAAAAAAAAAAAGATGGGTCTTTGAAAAAAATAACATACCTTTAGACCAAAAAGTTAGACTCACTGAGGAAAAAAGGAAGAAAACTCTAACAAATAGAAGGAAACAAAAGGGAAGTTACAATAGACATTTTAAAAATGAGGATCATAAGTGATTACTACAAACATCTGTTTGCCAGTAATTTGAATAACCTAGATGAAATGGACAAATTCTTAGAAATCTGTAAACTTCCAAGATTGAATTGGGAAGATATAGAAAATCTAAATAGGCCAATTATAAGCAAGGAAATTGACAGTTACCAAAAATTTCCCACAAACCAAAAATCCATGTCCAGATGGTTTCACTACTGAGTTCTACCAAACTTTTGAAGATGAAGTAACATCTACCCTTTTTTAACTCTCCAGAAAAAAAATGGATGTTTCCAAACATTTATATTGGGTTAACATCACTCTGATACCAAAACCACAAAAAGTTCTCACAAAAGACAGGAAATGACATGCCAATATCCCTGATGAACATAGATGCAAAAATCCTGAAGATCTTTGCAGACTGAAATTCAATAATAAATCAAATGGTTCCTATTATCATGACCAACTGGGATTTATTTCAGGGACAAAGGGATGATTTGATACTAGAAAATCAAACATGGTAATTCACCACATCAACAAAAGATAATACAAAAATCATGTAATCATATCAATAGATGCAGAGAAAGCATTTAATAAAATTCAAAATCC